ATAATTCTAGCCCAATGCCCTTCTTGAAGATAAGAGAGTTAAGGTGTGAGCCCCCAGCCATGGTATTTCTTTTGCTTCCCATAAAGAAAGAAATGGCATTCTCCTTTGAAGATAGGATGGGTCAGATCCTAGATCAAATAACTATCTATCCTTGCCACATGTGGACTAGTTGTAAATGTATTAGCTAGATAGCTATGTATATTACATATACATACACATATGTACATATACACATATGTGTGTGTATACACATGTTTTATACACACACACACACACACACACATATGGAACCTGAGGCTCAGAGAAGTTATAATTTGCCAAGATCACACACTAGAAAGGATGTCTTCTACTCTTTGTAAAATGCAAAAAAAGCACATATCCAATCCAGAGAAAGTCTCCTCTCATGCTTTCTTACAGTTTATCCCTTCACCTTTCTACTTCTACCTTAGAAGCTAAAGATCTTGCCATTTAAGTCCTTCTTACATGCCTTAGAATGAGTGCTAGGCCTGTCTGCCCTACAAGTACACAAAGATGTCAGCTTCCTGTAAGATAACAGTTCCTTTCACAAAAATATTTCATAGATTTTCATCCTGCAACCTGATCATTAAAGTTACATTCTTTTAGGTTTTAAACGTTTTTCTTAGACTTAAAGGGATCCAGATGATCAGCAAAAATAACTTCCTCATTTTAAAGATAAATGAACTGAAGACTGGAGAGGTGACATGACCAGCCCAAGGTAAAATAACTAGTTAATAGTAAAACTACAACGCAGAACTCTTGACTTAGTGCACTCTACTACCTTCTTTTTGCTCTTCACAATCCCCTAGTTAAAATTAGAAGACACTTGGAAGAATCATGCCATACTTTGATTGTCATCTTTGCCATCTTATCTGATGGCTAAAAACAAGATAGGTTTCTGAGGTTGGAGGACTGCACTAAGAAACATTGCTAATGATGAAGGAAGAGAGCATTAAGGATCCACTTGTCTGTTTCACATTCAGGCTTAAGGTCTCTAATCATCAGGTACTGCAAAAGTTCAGGTGGTCTCAACTTCTCTGGACAGGCTTCTGCCCCAGGTGTGAAGCATAACATATAAGCCCAACTCTCTTCCACTCTCTGAAGAAATGTGTTCATTCAGTCACCTAAGAAAAATTTAGCAGCAGCTTCTTAAACCTTATTAGCTGTTCTCCAGGATGTTAGATTTGATGAGTAACAACATGATAAGGCTTATATTTTATTGTCAAAATCTTAAATTGCACAATTGCCCCAAGGTGCTAAAATCAGATCATGAAGTGAGAGCTAGCAAATGAAATGATGTGCTGCCTTCAGGTATCTTCCTAACTAAGAGGGTTTTCAACAGTGGTAACGGGCTTTGCATGGATCAATCCACACTTAACTCGCCCTGCTCTCCTTAATGCCAGGAATCTCTATTCAGGGGATGACAGGGTGGTGGCCACCAAATAGAAAAAGGGAGTTGACCCACATGGGGATCAGACCCATGACCTCAACTTTGTTAATTCATTTAGCCTTGGGAGGCTCTCTTTACCTTTGTTTCCTTTACCACAAGAAATGGAACAAAATATTTGCCCACTAACATATATCAGGGTAAAAAATTATATAGATATGTTACCTTGGGTAAGTCTTTTGCTCCTTCTATGAGCCTAAGATTCTTCATCTGTAAAATGTAAAAAGTGAATTGAATTAACTAAAGTCTCATCTAATTATATGATCCTAGAATGTCCTATTCCCCCTTCCAGTCTTAAGGTATATATAATTTACTCTCTCCCTTTACCCCTCCCCCAACAGTATAAATCTGAAAGTCTTCTCAGATTCTTGGGAGCTCCAGTGACGTAGCTATATGAAGCTAAGGTGTTCTGTCCATTGCTCTCAAATCACATGGATGATATAGACCCTATTCATGTTCACACTTTCTGGTCCCTTTCTGCTTAACTTATTAACAAAAGCATTCTCGCTGAGCATTAAAAGAGAGCAGTTATTTCCTATATTCCTCATATAATAAGAAGAGTTATTAAGCTGATTAGGCTGCTTATGAAACAGAAATAGGAGGAAGGAATGCAGTTTCCTCATTCCATCAAGACAATGTAATGATCAAATATGGACCAAATATTTAGAGACAAATAAAACTGAAGGGAAGAAAAGGAATGAGAGGTAAAGGCTGGCTGTTAACTTAAACTTGAAATGTAAAATGGAGAAGGGGAAGAGGATTTTCCAGGAAAACCCCAAGTTTCCAAACCTTTGTATGTCACATTTTTCTAGGAAAAGAAAGGAGTGCCAACCAGAGGATCCCTTGGGATCCCTGACCCAAGAAATAAGGTAAAAGTAAATATCTAAAAGTTAATATCTAATATATTTTACTGGGCCCAAAAGTGTCCAGGCCAACTCTGAAGGCTGGGATTCAATCTTGCCCCTGTCAGATTTAGAACCTGTCATGACTTTTATTTTTTTTCCCTGAAACATTAGAGCCCTCTAGCGGTCAATGTGCTCTCCAACTAACAAATGCACTCTCAACTTACCACTTTAAATTTTCCAATTTTTTCCTTTGCAATCCTAATTTTTTATCTACTTTATGTTTCAGGTGCCAAAGATAAGGTTGCTACTGAATGTGCTTATTTTTTAGACCTTCACTCTATTTCTTCCTATTCAAAGTTAATACTTTCTACCTCATCTCTATTCACTTCATCAAAACTGAATGAAGTCTGAGACTTATAATCACTCAACCTCAAAAGTAAGAGGGGTAGAGAGGTAATGTGTGAAAATGATTTCTTTTTGCTGAGTGAAATGAGCAGAACCAAGAGAACATTGTACTCTATAGCAGCCATGTTGTGCAATGACTAATATTGATAAACCTAACCTTTCCCAGCAATACAATGATCTAAGACATCTCCAGAGGCCTAGTGATGGAAAATGCTATCCACATCCAAAGAAAGAACTATGAAAATTGAATTGCCATTTTTTCTCTTCTGTTGATTTTTGTTTCTGCTTTCTGATAGTTTGTCCTATTGGTTTTAATTTTTACATACAACACCACTAATGTGAAAATAGGAATGTAAATGTATAGCCTATATCAGATTGTGTGCTGTCTTGGGGAGAGTGGTGAGGAGGAAGGGGGAGAAAAATTTTAAACTCAAAAGCATATAGAAGTGATTATTGATATATCAAAATAAATTAATAAAATTTTTAAAAAAATATTTCTTCTGATTGCTCATTTCCAGTGGATAGGGGAGGCCTGGGAATAAGCATGAACTGGGAGCAGTGCCAACAAAAGGTACAGTTTATACTAAAGTTTGAATTGCAATGGCATCATTGAAAGAGCATGAAATGTGAATGGTCGGGGGACCTGAGCTCATGTCCCAGTTCTGCAACTAGCTATTTGACCTTGAATAAATTACAGGATCCTAGCTCTAGAATAAAAAGGGACCTTAGAGGCCACCCAGTCCAACCTCATCATTTGTTGTTGTTGTTAGTTTGTTTTATTGATTGATTGATTGATTGATTGATTTTTGGTGAGGCAATTGGAGTTAAATGACTTGCCCAGGGTCACACAGCTAGTAAGTGTCAAATGTCTGATCTGAGACCAGATTTAAACTCAGGTCCTCCTGACTCCAGAACTGATGCTCTACCCACTGTGCCATTTAGCTGCCCCTACAAACCTCATCATTTTACAGATGAGGAAACTAAGGTTCAGTAAGGTTAAATGACTTATCTAAGGTCACACCAGACAAAATAGGAGAAATGAAATTTGAACCCAAGTGTTCTGATTCCAAAGCCAGAACTCCTTCCACTGTAACAGGGTGTTCTCTTAACTAAACTCCAATGTCCTCATCTCTAAAGAGGGACAATTACACTTGTACTATCTGCCTCATAGGGCTATTTTGGTGATCAGATAAAATAATGCCTGTAAAGTGTTTTGTAAATCACACATATTACATAAATGTGGGTTATCAGTCAACATATGTTTCAAGTAATTTTCAATAATAATAAAGCATCTCACACTTAGAGAAATATAGTGATTTAAATAGGAATTTTAAATAGAATTGAGAATATTTTATTTTGCAGGCAAGAGGGGGAAAGAACAAAGGAAGGTAAGAAGGAAGGAAGGAAGGAAGGAAGGAAGGAAGGAAGGAAGGAAGGAAGGAAGGAAGGAAGGAAGGAAGAAGGAAGAAGGAAGGAAGGAAGAATTTTGTAAAATTCCTTTAATACCAGTCTCCCCCTGCTGGAGGAGCTTATGGCAATGACATTTTTGAAGGGATGAGTAAACCTACTAGGGACGGAGACCACTTGAATTTGCCTCCAATATTAGTATTAAGGAAGCAATTTGAACTCTTTCCCATTGATTCCAAGGTTTTGTCCTCTAAGGCCATGGCAACAGCAGGGAGAGAACTAGAATATCCATAAAAATGTGGAAAACCTTCAGTGACAGGGGCCTGGAAAATGACAGTAATGGAATAATTGGAAAAGCTCCATGAATCTGATATAAACTCCTTTTGAACTAATTGCAAAGCTTCACCTTTCAAAATCCAGGAACGATGTAGTAGAAATGTTCCTCTGTAAAGCATCTGATCTTGGACTCTATGAAGAGATGTATTCAGAGTTCTTCCTGTTATCTTAGCATAAGCAGGTAATTGTAGTTGTCTGATGAAACGACCATGTAATTAAAGAAAGAGAAATAAAGTTAATTTCTAAATCTCAGACGATTTTTATACCTTGGATAGAGGCTCAGCATATCCATTAGGGTCTGGGGTCAAAACTAGATTGAAGAGCGGAAAGAAATCATTCTTATACCTATAGTAAGGGGTTGGGGTGGGGAGGAGAAGAAGATTGAATTTGCAGGTTTTGCCTTAGTCCTTCTTTCTAATGATTTCTAAAATGAAGGACGGGGGAATTGGGTTGAAAAGAAAGGAAAATACAATTTTGACGGAATAGACAAACTGGAAAGTCAAAAATATCAAAAGTCAAATTTTAATTCCTCCAAAAAAAATTAAGGGTAAAGAGCCGAAGCTATACGTCCCTCCCAGCCCCCGATTTAATTGCAGGTACTTTGGGTGTGGAAGCTCCTGATTCAGAACCTCGGAAAGCTCCCCCTCCTGTGAGTGGTGAGTGCGCATGCTCTTCTGAGCCCGTCGCTGAGGCTGCGGTGGGTGCAAATATAACTCAGAAGAGAGCTGCTTGCTTACAACTCACTGGGAGTTAAGTGCAGTAGAGAGAGGGAGTGATTGAGAGAGAAGTGATCTTTCCGAACCGAATTCTCCGCCTTAGAGAACAATCCACGGGAAAACTTGTGGCAGTAAAGAACCAAGCAGGAAAAAGGTTTGTTTGGCTTTTTGTTTGTTTTATGTTTTGCTTTGTTTTGTTTAGAGAGTAGACAAACTGGAAATTACATGAGCATCCGAGCGGCAATCCAGAAATCTTTCTATACTTTCGCGGCAGCTGACGTTCGAACGAGGAGAGGAAAAGACAGACGGACGCTTCAGTTTGACAATCCCTAGCCAAACAGCCATTCAGCCCCATAGCTCTCCTCGGCTATCTCCCTGTTCCAGCTCGAGAGCTATTTATTCTTCCCGCGCCTGGACTCAGCGCCCAACAGTTTCGGGCAAGTCTATGCTGAGAAGCCCCCAAGGACCGTTTTTTGTGGTAATCACTTAGCCAATCACTTTGTGGTACTTGGTGGCTGCTGCTCTGAGAAAGTCCTGGTTGGAAGGGGAGCCCCAGAGGCAGTGCAAGGACTAAGTTGGACTTGCTCCAAGCCTAGTCTTTGGGTCATGGCCCGAACTGGATAGACACCACTGTCAACATGAAGGAGGCTGTCTTTTGGGGGTCCCTGCTGGAACTGGGAAACGCAAGTGGCAACGCTTCGCTAATGATGAGAGACCTGCTTCGAGGCCTGGAGCTGGAGAGACCAGACGGCATGGCAGGGCAGTTCCCGAGTTCAGGCATCCGCGGGAGTACTGGCACTGACGGCCCAGCTGGAGCGGTGGTGAGGATTCTCCTCAGTGTGGTATATTCAGTGGTGTGTGCCTTGGGGCTGGTGGGCAACCTTCTGGTCCTGTACCTGATGAAAAGCAAGCAGGGCTGGCGTAAGTCCTCCATAAACCTCTTTGTCACCAGCCTGGCCTTGACTGACTTCCAGTTCGTGCTTACCCTGCCCTTCTGGGCTGTGGAGAACGCACTAGACTTCACCTGGCCCTTCGGCAAGGCCATGTGCAAGATCATTGCTACTGTGACAGCCATGAATATGTACGCTAGTGTCTTCTTCCTCACGGCCATGAGTGTGGCGCGCTACCACTCCGTGGCCTCTGCTCTTAAGAGCCTCAGGCCCAGAGGACGGGGTAGGGGCGGTGGCTGGAGGCGAGTCCTGCGGGCGGGCAGAGGCTGTGGCTGGTGCTTTTCAGCCAAGGCGCTCTGCGTGTTGATCTGGGTCTTGGCGATGCTGGCCTCTTTGCCCCATGCCATCTTCTCCACCACTGCCACGGTGATGGATGAGGAGCTCTGCTTGGTACGCTTCCCGGACAAGCCGCAGATAGGGGACTCTCAGTTCTGGCTAGGGCTGTACCACACACAGAAGGTTCTGCTGGGCTTCGTGCTGCCCCTAGGGGTGATCAGCCTCTGCTACCTGCTACTGGTGCGCTACATCTCCGAACGTCCCGTCCGGGGAGGTGGAGGCGCGGGCGTTGAGCCTGGTGTTGCGAGTGCTTCTGGAAAAGTATGCAACAGCGCAGCTGGAGCCAGCGCCAAGAGGCGTTCTAAAGTTACCAAGTCGGTAACTATCGTCGTACTGTCGTTCTTCTTGTGTTGGCTGCCTAACCAGGCTCTGACTACCTGGGGTATCCTAATCAAGCTGAATGTGGTGCATTTCAGCCATGCGTACTTTCTGAGCCAGGTATACGTGTTCCCAGTGAGCGTGTGCCTGGCCCACTCTAACAGCTGCCTCAACCCCATTCTCTACTGTCTCATGCGCCGAGAGTTTCGCAAGGCTCTTAAGAGCCTGCTGTGGCGCATCGCCTCGCCCTCGCTCACTAGCATGCGCCCCTTCACCGCCACTACTAAACCTGAGCCAGAGGAACAGGCCCTGCAGACTCTGGCTCCCTTGCATGCTTCGGTGGAGCCCGATCTCCTCTACTGCCCACCTGGAGTCGTTGTCTACAACGGAGGGCGCTATGACCTGCTACCCACTAGTTCAGCGGAGCAACGCTGCTGAAGTAGGAAGACGCATCAAGACGGAAAGCGGAGGGCGGAGGGTCCGAGGTGTGGAGCGAAGTAGATGATTCCCCTCCCACCAGGGTGGGGAAGGGGGAGAGAGACCTACACAGGCAGAGACAGACACAGACACAGAGACAACAGATGTAGCACCGAAGAGGACCGGTAAGAGTAGGCATTGGGTGTAGGATGGAGGGTGAACCAAACTGGTAAGGTGGCTCTGAGGACCCTCCAGAGAATAAGGGGAGAGACATTGAGGAGGCAGGCTGCACAAATGAAAAAAGCAAACAAACAAAAAACCGCTAACGAGACCTAAAGTTAGGCCAAGTGGTAAATCGTGGTGCTGTTTGCCTTGTTCCTCACTTTGCTTGGGCGAGAGATCGCTCCAGATCTTAAACAAGTCCATTCTTGTTGAGACTAGGTTGTGGGCAGAGGGGAGGAGTGTCTAGACTCTGGAGAAGAGGGATGAGAAAGCTTTCTGGAGAAGGGGAACTGGCCAGAGTGGGGAGCGAAAGGTGCAAGAAATTCAATCTATTAAACCCATATAAGCTTTGAGCCCCTCAGAAGTGCTTCCACTTTTCCTTCTTAACTCCAAGGCTATACCTGCTCCCTGGGGCTAGGTGGGTAAAGGGCAGTCCTGCTGGCCTGGAGGCCTGCAGTCCTTCCTTCCCAGAAATAGCAGGTGTTCTAAGAGGAGAATAAGAACTCAGCGATTTCTCCTTGGTAGAGGAGATTCCCTTTCCTTTGGACCGGACAGACTTCACTATCTTTTCGGGAGGAACTGTCGCTTTTTGTAAAGCTGGGAATTCACAGCAGTCAAGAACAGCCCTGCATTATTTAGGACTCTAAAAGTCCTGGCCCGGGTTGACTCGTGAAGACATCCTCAGAAATTTCTCGCCATGTTCTTGCTAGGCAGGCACTCCTGGTAGACTCTGGGGACCCAGCCCCTAACCATGGGCTTCTACAATCTAAGAGGAAGTAAGACCGGCTGCTATCGCAGGACTTTTGGGAGCAGGGAGAGCGCTGAAGGGCCAGAACCTCCTCCTTTCTGCACTTGGACTTAACAGGGAGCCCTTAATCTCACCGACTCTTATTAAGACCTCCAGAGATACCTACCTGCCCTTTGCTTGTCAGAGGTGAAGGCCCTCTTTAAACGCAAAAAACTTAGAGTAAATGACATTGATTTTGTTTGGATTTTGGTGGAAGAGGGAATTGTTTGTATGTGTTTTTAAATAAATCGGTATCTAAATTATCTCTGGGCGGGGCCGCAGCATGTCTTAGAGAAGCTGGACATGAAGGGGAAAGACGAGTAAGCTTTTATTTTGGGATAGGACAAAAGAGAGAAAAGTTCTATCTGGAAGAACTCTGGATCCAGGGCGAGGGGAGGGGGAGGGGGGAGGGCCCCGCGAAGGGCGGCCGTGGTGGGAAGAGCAGCATCACGGGATAGGATGCTTGGAGCTCTGGCACGCGGTGAAATGCTGAACTGCAGGTGAGCGCTCCCCACCCCCAGCCTCATCACCTCTTCGCGCTATTCGAGCCCCCGAGTCTTATCATTTAAGGCCACTGAGTTGCAGGTGAGGCCACAGCCTTAGAAGAGAGTTCCCATTCTTTAAGCTCAGTGTAGAGACCCTTCCCTAGAAATTATGCTCCCCATGTTAGCCAAGAGAATGGGTTTCCCAAGGGAAACATTTAGCTCATTTTTAAATTTCATTTCTGATTAAAAAATAATAATAATAAATAAAAATAAAAATAACTTGCCCCCAGGATGAAGTACAAATCAGCTCTTTCCCTATACATCTAGGAAGCTACCCCTTGAGGTGCAGGTCCCAGAGGACAGAGCAGGGATTTTGTTAATAATAAATAGACTTCTCTACTGTGTTCAGATTTACAAAGTATTACAATCGCCCTGTGAGGTAAGAACTGCAATATTACCTTTATTTTAAAAACGTGAACTCTAAGACCTGATGATTTTCAAGTAGCTTGACCCAGATGCCTAGCAAGTAAGTAAAGCCAGTATTCAAATGCAAACATGACTCCTAAAAACCAGCCCCTTCCCTGCCAAACTGGATTACTTCTCTCGGATTGGTAAAGTACTGAAGATATACATTGTAATGATACGGTTGTCAAATATTGCTCTCCCTTGTGTTCCCTTTCTTTTCAAAACATCAAACCACTTTAAACACATCATATTTATTTTTACCTAGCCTTGCAGTAATGTTGTGCATATGTAAAAGTCCATTTCCAGCTACAGTTATTTAAGGAGTTAGAGACCATCCATTTGCTAGACCACTCTCAGGACATCAGCCTGCATCCCAAGTTTGATGAATAACTGCTGCTGATAATTTAACTTCAAATCTTTATCTTGCCTAAGTTCTGGTTAAATTATACTCTCCATTTTACTGCTTCCAGAATCCTCCCATTGATTGAAATGAATTGAGACAAGACATTGGGCAGATGTAACCTCCAGTTCTGACAGCTGTTTCAATATAATTCAGCGTAACCTGTGATTTCATCTCTGTAGGAAACTTTCCAGGAAGGAAATTCCTCTACCAATGCAAATCATCACCTACCTGCTCTGCAGTACATTGCCTTAGAGAGTAGCCTGGTGCAATCACTGAGAAGTGAAATGACCTTCTGGGGGAGAGGGAATCCCACAGACAGTATGTGGGGTTGGGGGGAAGGGCACTTGAACTCAAGTGTTCTAAGGACAGCTCGCTATTCAATTTTTCAGAAACTGGTATATGGCTACCCTGAAATGAAAGAGGTGACTGAATTCAATGCCTAGCTCTGGCTGTACCTGCCCTATTGTGTGCAAAGAACAGTGACCAGAATGGTAAAAGAACTGGAAACTATGCCACACAAGGGTCAGTTAAGGAAATGGATATGTTCAGCCCAGATCAGAGAAGTCTTAGTGGGGTTATGAGAAGTGTCTTCAAAATATCTGCATGGAGGTTATATGTGGAAGAGATATTTAACTTGTTATGTTTATCCCCAGTGAGCAGAACTTGAAACATGATAGACATCTCAGAGAGGCAGATGTCAATTCAGTAAAAGGAATGGACCCCCCAGTATAATTTCTCCTTAGCAAGAGGTTAAAACAAGATACTGAGCTATTCATTTTAAGTTTCTTTTGATAATTCTTAGAATGAATACTGCAGATAAGTAAATTACCCACCTTTAAGAATCTGTTCGTTGCTCCTCTGAGCCATAGGATTAGAAAGCGAAGCCAAATGACTTGCAGTGTAAGGGGTGAAAGGAAGGGAAAGTGGTGGAGTTTGCTTTCATCACAGACCTGATATCATGAGAAGTGTGGGATGCTGATTTGTTCTCCCCTCTAGCCCTCTATCTAAGGCAGAAAATATTGGGCGAAAGCTACCATCAAGTAATAACATCCTTCTGCTTACCTTGTGACCACTGGAAAAGTAGAAAAAGACCCCCCTTATTCTCTAAGAATCTTTTACATCTGACTTCTATCATTCTTGTCCTCCCTGCTCCTTACTCTTCCTTTTATAGAATGTTAGGGCTAGAGAGAACTTTAGGTATTGGTTGGTACAGTCATTCAGACTTAATAAGATTTTAAACAAAAGCATTTACTACATTACAATGAACTTTTACTAGTTACCTACTATGTGACAGGTACTGTGCTAAGTGCTATGGAAACAAATAAGAAAAAGACAGTCCCTGCCCTGGAGGAGATTTCAATCTAATGGGGGAAGAAAACACACAGAAAGAAGCTGAAAGGAGTATAGAGAAGGGAGGGTGCCCAGTACTCAAGCACGATGGTGGTGCCATTAAAACCAAGCAGTGCAGCTGGAGGGAAATGAGATGGCTGGGGAGTTTTACCGAGAGAGCATAACAAGAATAGTGATTACAAAAACATTTTTCTGTGGGGATGCTGGGCACAAACTGAAAATATAAAATGCTAAGTCACACGTACAAAAAACACATATGGCAAAGGAGTTACTCACTCCTGTATCCTGGAAGTCCTTTTCTCCCTTCATAGCATTCTTATGAAGTTTCCCTTAGGTGTAGGTCTCTAGTGGGCCCCTCTGGTTGGTGCCTTTGTAAAGTTCACAGCCTGCACTTCTCTCCAACGTGAAGGGGTCCCATTACCTGAAGCTGCCTTTCCTCAGGTGACTATCCTTCCTGCGTGACTGTATTGTCTCCTACTGAGCTGATCTTTCTGGTCCCATTGGATGCACTGTCCTTCCCAATGCATGATTTATACAATAAAACTTTGATTCTAATAGGTCTGACCCTACCTTCAACACAGGGAGAGGCTATTTTTCTTCCACACAAGAAATCCAGGAAAGAAAATCTCCTGAAGATATTACCCAGTATGTGACCCAACTCCCCACTTGCAAGCACATGGTATTACAGAAGAAGTTTTCTTGAAAGGCAAAGGAAGACACATTAGAAAGCCTCAAAGCAGCAACTATCTCCCCAAAGGTCAAAGTAAAATTCTTAGCCACTTAAAATTCTCTTATGTGAGCACTTCTAATACACTGCTGTTCCCAGCTACTCCTAGCCCATAGCTTAATGTTCTTTATTGCCCTCTTCTGATGGTTACAGGAGTCATTCTCTCTCACTCAGCCTCGGCTCCTGTAAGTTCCCTATTGTTTCCAAGAGATGGCCCAGCTTTGGTTCATTTGCTTTCTATGGCTTTTGTCTTGGTGAGACCAAAAATACCCTCTGTCATGGCAAAACTCTCTTCTTGGTTGTTCTTGGTTGAAATCTTCACCATCAAAGGAAAAACCTCAACAATGCTTACTTTGTCTATGTTTTATATTTACTGATGTGATAGGCAAGGAAAGTGGTGTCCCCAGTGAGTGGAATGGTTGAGACCTCAGGGTGTAATGAGAGAGGGCTGAGCCCCAGACATGATCTGACAGCTTTTATATATTCTCAAGACTAATGGGAAGGGGGAGTGGTTCTGATTTAGCATCGACCTATGAAGTGTTGCAGGTCAGGATGGAATTGCTTCTACAAGCAAAAGATACAAGCTCTAAAACACTATTGGAGTATAAACAGTGGTGAATGCTAGCCTCAGTGCTAAAAAGAATATTTAACAGTATCTGCAGCCACCCCTGATTTCTTCTTTGCTTTCTATGGGTGGAGAGATTGTAAGCTATTATATGATCTGTTGATTACTTAGCCAATTTAGCAGGGCATAGCATACTCTTTGGTCCCACTTTAGCTACCTGTGAATACTGTCCCCACTCCTCACTGCTCTAGTGCTCTTGGCCAGGCTTTGATCAAGTTGCCTCCCAGTTCAAAGGAAGTCTAGAAGGTCTAGTCTAAAATATATTTGAAATGACTAAAAATATAAATATCTCCTTAACTCACTGGGTCCCACTTCCCATAGACTACCCCCTCAGTCACTAGCCCCCCTCAAAAAAACTCATAGGATTCTATAATTCCCCATTAATTGCTATCTGATTTGTTAACACATTGAATTAACTTAAAAAGCTAAAATAAACAATAAATCAAAACTTTAAATATCAGGCTGCAATATTTACCCAAGGTGCAAGAAGCAGTATCTCCTTAGCAAAGATGTCCCAAGGAATTGGGCCAGCTTTCTCAGTGGACAATTTTATTTCATTTCTTTAAGTGTCCAGGGAGTTGAGTACCCATTAGAAGGAACACCACCTCATTTCTGGACATATGGGCCACACTTGGACAGTTTCCTCTTCATTCATTCATTTATTCATGTGACAAGCATGTATTAAGTGCCAGACATTGTGTTAAATGCTGAGGACTCAAAGACAAAAAGGAAATTGTCCCTTTCTTCAAGGAACTGAGATTCTATTTGGGGGAAACATGTACACAAATAAGTAAATATAATGTGGGAGTGGCACCTAAATATGGGAGGATTTCAGAGAAGAACCCAGCAGAAAGGAGGAGGAAGCATGAACAGGGAATGAGCAGCACGCTGGACAGAAAGAGACAGGCCACAAAAACCAAGAGTTTTCTAGGTTACTATAGGCAGCCTCTCAACAGGCTGGTGTATATATGTATATATATATATATATATATATATATATATATATATATATATATATATATACCCATATAGAGCCATAGGGCAACTAGAGCAATTAACACAACTAACTCTTCATCTCCCACCCCTCTCCTTGACTTTCAAAGTCTAAAGTATTGGTCTCTGGACTGAATTGTCTCTGCTGTCACAGAGGAGTTGGTGTTGCCAGAAGACAGACTTCTGTCCTGCACATTTTTCTTGTGTTCAAGATTAT